CACAAAAAACAAGGCCCACCCCACACAAGAATATTTACTTAAAATAAATGAGACACATACGACGATCGCCAAGATGCAGGCGGAAAAATCAAATAGCCTCCTACATAAGTTGAGAGCCACTACATACCACACAACCGGCAAGGCTACTAAGTATTTAGCGGCCAGGCTTAGGGCAAGACTGACCCAGACCAAGATACCCTACATTCTGGATGACGACGGCAACAAACATATAGACCCACAAGCGATCAGCAATGCGTTTGCGGCCTTTTACTCCAAATTACATAACCTCCATACAGACACAACAATACCGCACCCTCAAAGCTTAGACGCAACACGCTATCTAGCAGACATCACTCTGCGCAAGGTGTCTGAGGACCACCTTCGAGCTCTACTACAACCTATCACAGTCCCAGAAATCACCCACACTATTAAACAGCTCCCCCTGGGGAAGTCCCCAGGCGCAGATGGGCTTTCTAACGCATACTACAAAGAGTTTAGTGACCTACTAGCGCCGCAGCTCCTGAAACTATACCGGCAAACAGCTACCTCAGGTAGACTGCCTCCGGAGGTGCTGCTGGCTACAATAGTGACGATTCCCAAGTGACAGCTGGTGCTGTAGCCGTTGAAACGTGTTAGCCATTCCATTGTATTGCATATTATGTTATACTAAATATTCACTGATTAATATCATGCATGCTGCCTAATATTATTGTTAATTAATTGTTACAATAAACAAATCTATTTTTATAACACATTGTGATCATTAATTGTATGGAATACTTTTCACTTACATGATAAACAATCTCTAAGATCTAAGAGAATTGAAATAGTGGGCAATTCTCGACTGCTTAAAATTATCATCCCATAAATATCCCGACACTTCCAGGACTTTGTGTGTGCTTACCTGGATGACATTGCTGTCTTCAGTGGGTCTTGGGAGGAGCACCTAACGCACGTAGGGGTAGTTCTGGATAAGATTTGGGCCAGATAAGTGCCATCTGGGCATGGCAGAGGTACAGTACTTGTGAAACAGGGTGGGGTGTGGAAGCAAGAGACCCGAACCGGCCAAGGTGGAAGCCGTAGCAAACTGGCCCACACCCCGCACCAAGACCCAGGTACTAGCCCTTTTAGACACAGCAGGGTATTACCGTCGTTTTGTGCCCGACTATAGTACGATAGCCAAACCTCTGACGGACCTGACCATAAAGAATCTTCCTAAGCAGGTCCTGTGGTCTCCAGCTTGTGAAGCCGCGTTTACTGCCTTAAAGCAAGCCCTCGTGAATGCCCCCGTCTTGGCTGCCCCAGTACCTAACAAACGTTTTCTCATCCATACAGACGCTTCCATGTTTGGACTGGAGGCTGTGCTAAGCCAGGTCAGGGAGTATGGAGGAGAGCACCCCATTGCATACCTGAGCCTGGAAATTACTACCACGAGAAGTGAGTTATGCGGCGGTGGAAAAAGAATGTTTGGCTCTTGTTTGGGCCCTTAAAAAACTCACCCCCTACTTATATGGGCAAGAATTTTCTCTGATCACCTATCACAACCCCTTGGTATGGCTTGCAATTTTAGCATCACCTACAGACCCGGCAAACACAATCGGAATGCTGATGGGCTCTCACGACAGACGGAATTGACTTCAGCTCTTCAGTCCGGACATCCCCAAGTTGACCCGTTAAAGGATCAAACCGGGTCTGCCGGAGTGTCCCACAAGGGGGGAGCCGTGTGACAAATCCCTCTGTCCTAGACTGAATCAACCGTATGGCTTTTTCATTTAGTTAATTCCTTTTTCTCGTTTCTGTGGACTCTATGGCATTCCCCTGTTTATAACCGAACAAAACTACCGAACGGCCAGCCACCCAGTAGAGGAGTGTGCTGCTGATTAACCTCTTGGCCCAATTCGAACGTTGAGGATTAACTGCAGACACTTCGTAATTGATACAGCAGTTGGGTGGCCGCCATTCGAATGCCGAACACGAGGTCGCGGCCATTTTAAAACACACGAACGCACAGCTAACTCATGGAACTAAAATGGACACATTTTGACACCTAACTCATGGAACTAAAAATGGACACATTTTGGCATGAACACTGCTGAAGCCGCCGACCTCCCTTCTTGTTTGGTAGATTGACACGAATGACCCTATATTCGGTGGATTTAAACAGAATACACCGTACCCCTGATAGGAATCCCGTGGAGCCAATTCGTATGAAAACTGACTGTGTGAACACTTTGGCTCCACGGCGATTGGACTGTGTGTATAGGATCTGAGCGCTACTCAGTACTTTGGTGCGCTCAGATCCTAGCTATCTGGGGACCTGTGGAATGCCTATAAAATCATGTAAAATACAACAGTTATGTAATTTTATGTATTTTTGTGTATTTTTGTTATTAGTCCTCAAAATGGCGTTTAGGGCTCTGTCCTGGGAGATAATTGAATTACTTCACAATTATCTTCCCGGGCAGAGCAGGGGGTTCTGGGCAAGAAAAGAGGAATGGCTTATTATGTCTTCTGTGATTGGTTAATACATTGTCCCTCATTCAGTCCCCTAGGGGAGTGTCCACCAGGTGGGGGACTTGCATAAAAGCCGGGCATGTAGCCCTCATTAAACAGATTCCTGCTGACCCTCAATACGGAGCTGTGTCTCGTCTTTGGGGGGGATTATTCGTATGGAGTAAGCGTGTTCGGCTGTTTGGAGGAATATTTGATTCGCATGGTGGCTTTTTGACTGTTTGGGAGGAATAGTGTGTTCGTATATCTACTGTTCGGTTACTTGGGAAACTACTTCATCCGTATGGCTACTGTTCGGTGCTTTGTAGCACTCAGTGGCTGCCTCTGCATTTGGTAAGGGAACATCTCATACGGCTGTAACCCCTTGCATACCGGGGGAGCCGTAATAGCAAGTACGACTCCTGAGAATTGGTCTAGTAGCGCTTTTCCCAGTAGCAACTATCACAGTTATAATCTTCTCAGAAGGAGGAGCTACCAATTTGGTCACCACAGAATGTTCAGCACGTCTATCATGAAATTACTTCTCTTTCCCCCTATTGATACATCGGCCATAGGCTCCGCTCGGTCAAGTGGGATAGAGCCCGGTCGGTATCAAGTCTTCCATGACAGTGTCAGCCAGACCTACAAAATCTCTATCTTGCTTATCCCTTAATCTCTGGGTAGGGGGATAATATCTCCCTTCAAAACTTCCTCTACCTTGTCCTCTATAGCTGCTACCATAATCACCTCGCCCTCTTCTCTCTTCTCGCCCTCTTCACCTAAAATATATCCCCTCTGTGGACAGTCACTCTTCCAATGCCCTTCCTCTCTACAATATGCACATTGATCTCTACCTAGTGGTACCCTGCTCATCCTATTCTCAACTCCTCTATTCATTTCCCCTCCTTCTCAAGCTACGCCTGAAATAGCTACCACTAACATGTCTATTTTCTTCCTCATCTTATGTTCCTCCTCACGCTTTCTCTCAGTTTCCCTATTCATATACACCTTATTTGCAACCTCCATTAGCTGTGATATAGATATCCCTGCAAATCCCTCTAATTTTTGTAGCTTTCTCTTAATATCGCTCTGAGCCTGGCTAACAAATGCTGAGTCTATCATTCGGAAGTTTTCAAGGGGTTCAGGATTGAAAGGAGTGTACAATCTATTTGACTCAAGCAGTCTCTCATAAAAAGCACTGGGTGATTCATTAACTTTTTGTAACACTTCAGCCGTCCTGGACATGTTAATTGCCTTTTTCCCAACTGCCTTCATGCCAGTAATAATTGTTGATAGGCCTTTAGATGGATCATGTCAGCACCATTTACGCTCTAAAGGTCAGTAATAATTGCTGATAATCAACCCAGGTGGGATTATGGGATTATGGGTCTGTATAATAGAGGTGACCAAATCTGTCATGGCTTGAGGCTTATCGGTATATGAAGAGTTCTCCCAATTAAATAAATCAGTCGTAGTGAAGGGAACATAGACAAATACAGGGTCTGCATGTTGCAATTGACCATTATTGTCAACATGTGTTGGGCCCAGTGTAAGTCGGAGAGGCATTTGGTAATGTCGGGGTTGGAGGTTACCAGTCAGTTGTCGGGTTAGTATGGGACTTCGGCAAGGCTGCTCAGTAATAGGTTCCAGTCTGGGAGTAGTAAGATAGGTATAAGGGGGTGAGCTAATTTTACTAGTCAGCATTTGGTGGATGAAAAAAAATGGAAAATAAACTTAACTTCTACATAAAATAAAAACTTATATCAATAAATATATTAAAATAGGGTAAGCAGTCCTACTTCTGTCTGTTATAAACAATGTAATATCAATGTAACTCCCGAAGATGGCCAGTAGGTGGCCCTAGAGTGCCTCCCTAAAGTCTAATGAAGCAGATAGACTTTAATTATGTCCTTATTTTATTATTACTTATTTTAATCACTGTCCACCCTGATATCTAGGCTTGATTAAAGCTGTAGTTCTAAGGTAAATTAAGCATCTCAGTTTGTATTTTAGTAAAGGGGATATTTTGGACAAAGCTGGGAGGGGCCCAACCACTAACTTAAAGAAAGGATAATAGGATATTCTAACGTCTTATACCATTGATCATTTATTCCAGTTGTATTTTAGACTGTTACTGTTATTAAGAATTCTCCTCACAATTCTCCTATTAATAAAATTCAATGCTAAAATACACTCCTACTAATAAGGAAGTCAGTTCAAATTACAAAGAACCAGTGTGTGTGTGTGTGTGTGTGTGTGGGGGGGGGGGGGGTTTGTACAGATATGCAAGAGTTTGTAACAAAAGAACAGATATTATTGGAGATTTTAATTACCCAGATATAAATTGGGACAGAGGGACTAGTGCCTCAGCAAAGGGAATTAGGTTTTTAAACTTGTTAAATGACACCTTCATGTCACAACTTGTACAAGCACCAACTAGAATGGATGCTTGTCTGGACCTGGTTTTAACAAACAACGTTGATCTTTTGACCAACATTCAAGTAGGTGAGCACTTGGGAAATAGTGATCACAATATAGTGTCCTTTGAAATAAACTCAAAAAAACAAAAGCACATGGGGAATACTAAAACATATAATTTTAAAAAGGCCAATTTCAATAAGTTAAGGGAAGCTTTACAATATATTGACTGGCATAAACTCTTTAGTGAAAAGAACACTGAGGATAAATGGATCATCTGCCAACAAATATTACAAAGGTACATTTCTCAGTATGTACCATTGGGAAATAAATATAAAAGAAACAAATTAAAACCAATGTGGCTTAGTAGAGAAGTAAAACAAGAGATTACAACTAAGAAAAGGGCATTTAAAGCATTTAAATCGGACAAATCAGATGCATCTTATAAAAAATACAAGGATGCAAATAATGCGTGCAAAAAGGCAATTAGACTTGCTAAACTTCAAAATGAAATAATGATAGCTGAAGAGAGCAAAACCAACCCCAAAGCATTTTTTAAGTACATAAATTCTAAAAAAAAAAAAAAAATGAAAGTGTAGGTACACTAAAAACTGAAACAGGGGTGTTAAGTTAATGAAGACCA